CCAACACTGACAGAATGGACTAGGTAGAGGGCAGAGGAGTGAACTGGTGTCTGCAGCAATGATTTCTTCCATTATAACTGACTTTTATAGTAACATTAACTTCACTAAAGGAGATTAAATGATTTTTCACTATTATTGTTGAGTCAATTCTGACTCAGTGACCCCTGGGACAGAATCTAACTGCCATATAACATTTCCTTGGCTGTAATATTGACAGTGGAGTACTGGTGTGGTGCTGTAAGATAAGCACTGGACTGCAAGGTCCATTTGAACTGCAAGGTCGGCAATTCAAACTCACCCAGCTGCTCTTCGGAGACCTTATACAATGGGTGGCTATGAATCAGAACTGATTCTAAGGCAGTTAACAACCTTGACAGGAGTTAGCCATTATCTTTCTCCCAAGGAGCCATTGGGTAGGTTCAAACTAGTAACGTTGTGGGTAGCAGGTAAATACTTAACTACCTTGCCACCAGGTTTCCTTTTCACTAACTAGGCCTTTTTTTATATAGAAAATGTACACAGTTTCAAGACCAGTTGTTGGAGTGTTTATGTTTTGTTGGGAACACTTATGAAGGAAATCTTCATTGGTAGCAGAACTTGCTCAGAATGCGTCAGTTAGGCACAAACAGTTGGGATGATTCTGAAACGTTATCTGTCCACCTAACTTGACTCTTGACTTTCTCAATGAACTGAGCATCTGAAAAAAACTGAGGCTCTAAGAGTACTGCATTCTGTGACATACCAGAAAACAAACTGGGTACATAAATGCATTTTTATCAGTAACCATCTAGATCATTCCAAAAGGAATCACTGGCAAACCAACATAATTAGTGTATGTGAGAATAAAACAGTAAATCGAAAATAAAGTCTTAAATGGCAAATTCAGTCTGTAGGTGACAGCAGGGCCTGCAAGATATTAAATGCACAAAGACCTTAAATATCGAACAGTCAAGTAAAAATATCTACCAGGTAAAATAACAGCACAACTTCTCAAACTTTGGAAAACATGGCATGGGGCCACTCTGTCGTTCAACCAAGTCTCTGGTGTGTATGTATCAATGGGAATAGCTAATATAGTAAGGAACTTCAAAAAAGTTCATGGAAAAATTCTATTCTCTTAATTTCATTTTTCCATGAACTTTTGAAGTCCCCTCATATCTCTTCACAATAATTCAATAAAGTATTAGGATTATCCCCGTTTTACTGACAACGCAGCTGAGTATTCAAAGACCTGACGCATTTACCCAAGTTCATACACTTACTAGGTAGGTAGCATTTGAACCCAGGCTGGGAGACACCAAAGTGTCCTTGCCTGACTACCCAAATTAGCCTCACCACACTGTGAAGCTCTGAGACGAAGTTATTTGGGCTAAAAGGCAAAGAAAGGGACCAATTAGAGGTTAGAAGGGAGAAAAAAAAAGTGCTGGCCCCAAAAAGGCTGGTTCCAGAATCATGATACTAGATGCCACTGCTTTCAAGCTTTTCGCCTATAATCACCCTATATTGAAACCAGATTTATGAGCTCTTCAGAGGAGACCTTGTGATTTTCTAAAGCAGACATGTTTGGTATTTTAGAAGGTCAAACCCCCTATGGTGCAGTGTTTTTAATAGAATCAGTTCAGCAGAAATGAGACACACCAGTCAATTTCTAGGAAGCCTCTGAATCTTTCAAAATCAGAGGTGGGGGTGGGGAATCACGTAAAAGACATATCCACATACAGATCGATTTGCTTTTCAAAACTGGGTAGGATGCAAATAACAGAAGAACATCATGGCAATTTTTGTCCCATGTATCTTGGGTTTGAGCAAATTTCCACTAAGAAAGGAAAATTACTTTTTCTGGGGAGTTCTGTCCTTAAATAAGGGCTGTTCCTAGTTAGCCAAGCCTTGTACTCACACCTCAACAGTAAACATCCCTAAGAGGGAAAAACAAATAAACCAGTCATCACCATTCTTAACATCTCTCAATCAGGCAGTTACTTCATGAAGGAACCTTTCTCTCCCTCTCCCTATAGCTTCTACTCTTAGGGAAACAGAATCTATTATTCAGTTCCTAACAAAATTCAAAGTTTAGTCATCTGGCAATATTTTTAGTTGCAGGCCAAGTTATGGAGAGATCCAACTTTTAGGCAAGATTTGTGGATAGCAGAGTTAAGCACTCAGTACGAATCGAAACGTTGGCAACTTGAACCCACTAGAGAGATGCAAAACCCTGGTGGCTCTACTATGGAGCAGGGTTCTACTCTGCCCATCTGAGGTTGACAGGGGAGGAAAGAGACTCAAGTGGCAACCAAAAAATAAAAGACTGCAATGTTGTCGTTAAGTGCCGTCGAGTCGGTTCCGACCCATAGCGACCCTGTACAGGGTTTCCGAGAGTGTAAATCTTTACGGGAGTAGAAAGCCTCATCTTTCTCCCGTGGAGCGGCTGGTAGTTTCGAACCGCTGACCTTAAGGTTCGCAGCCCGATTCGTAGCCACTACGAAAAGACTGCAATAGCATGTCCAAATACCAAGCAAGGCGAGCAAAAGAGTTATTCTAGGGACAGCTACAGGATTGGTCAATTACACTGCTGGAACATGTTGTGAAGTGCCCTCGCGTCTATTCCAACTCATAGAAACCCTGTATAAAGTTTCCAAAGAGCAGCTGGTAGGTTTGAGCTGCCGACATTGTGGTTTGTAGTTCTGTGCTGATCCTACAGCGCCACACCAGAAGCCCAGGTTGGGATTATAAATTCCAGAAAGCCTACCCTGAATCAAAATTCCCTGAGCACAGGGCCACCACCTTCCATTGTACCAACCCAAACCCCCACTTATTAAAAGTAGATTCAGCTCACAGCACCCTTATAGGAAGAGGACTGCTCCTGTATTTCTAAGGCTATAATCTTTCTCCTTTTTGCAAGCAGCTGGTTGATTCAAACCACTGATATCTGGGTTATAGCAGCTGAATACTTAACCACTGTGCCACCAGGCTCCTACTACCATATACAGAGAGGTCAAAAAACCTAACGAATTTACAGCACAGATGGATCAGTAAACACAGGATCAAGTAGAGATACTTTGCATTTATCTTCCAAAATTTGATTACAGCATTGCGCACAAGCCTTTTCAGGATAGCTGACTTCAACATTTTAAATACATGACTGAAACATTCATTTCTTTGTTTACTAATGAATTGTTGAGGCCTTGGAAAACTGTTACTTGGAAGAAATGGGGTGAAAGGGAATAGTATCAGGACAAGCAGAGGAAGGAAATATGTAACTACACACAAATGAAATTCAAGTAGGCTGCTTAAAGAATCATGGCGCTGGCAAGACACAGTATAGAGAGATATTGTTGTTAAGTGCTTTGGAATCGGTTCTGACTCATAGCAACCCTGTATAAGGTTACCCAGGTTTCTTAAATCATTGTGAGAGCAGAAAGATTCACCTTTCTCACGTGAAGTGGCTTGGCCAGCTCAAACCATAGACCTTGTGGTTCACAGTACAGTGCTTATCATATGCAGCCACCACGCTCCCATGGAGATGTAAGGAACACAACATTTTTGCATCTTCAAACTACAAAACTTTTGACCTAGAATTAAGAGAATGGAGTACAAATCTCACCAACTTTGTTTTTATCAATTATTTCCCCTAGATGGATTTTAATGGATATAACAACTCCTCCGGGTCCCTCAAAAATTGACACACATAAAACTACAGCTTCTATGTCTTTAAGTCCTGTAAGAAGCTACACAAGCACAACACAAATGCTGTCACTTATTAAAACGTTTACTTCATACCCTAATCTGCTCAAGATGGGGGGGGGGCCTATTGATTAATCTAGGTAGTCATCTGTCTACTAGTTGTTTCGATTCAGATTCTCCCATGAGCTTGGTTGGCTGTTATGTCTGTCCTTTCCTAAGGTCCTCAAATTACACTTATCATAAAGTATCCTGGAAAAGAACACATAAAATCCTTAACATTCCTAATGGAAAACCTCATTCTCAAATACGCAGGATATAAATTAATATTTAAGCAAACATATCAGATAATATAGGAAATAATTGAGAAAAAAAAAAAAAACCTATGAGGAAAATCATTCCCACATTTAAGATAACAATGCCTCATTTTCAAGGCAGGATGAGAAGCACATACATACATGTGGCATAAGTTTGAAATTAGGCTAGCCAGTGTTGCCAGACAGAATGTCCCATAAGAGTGGAAACTGTTATTTAGCTGCATTCATCCATTAGTTACTGGCTAAAGTAAATGTTCTGTTGGTTATATTTAACAGAAAATCACTTTGGGGGAAGAAACCCTGTAGCAATGACTTATGTAAATCTCAATCGGAAGTTATTAAAATGCTCACCACACTAAAAACCTTTCTAAGGGTTGAGATGATAAAAAAAAGAAAAAGTTTGAACAGCATTGCATTGAAGAGCAAGAGGTAAAAAATTTTAAGAACGTGGTAGAATAAAGTTAGGCTAAGTTTTCAGTCAAAATATTTAATTTGGTTTGTGACATAATCAACTGATCAATTAATCAACAGTAAAAGCAGACAGGGACTAGAGTTTCATTTCATTTTTTTGTTTTGTTTCCAGCTGGAGGTAGACACATTTCAAAAGCTATTCCAAAGCAAGGAGCTAAAACTGATGAAACACTAACTTTGCTAAGGCAATGTCAGAAATAGATCCAACATATCTGAGATGACATATATAAGTTTAAGATCTTTTAGATGAAGGCTGAAAACCAGATTATTCTAACAAGCTATCTGGGTAAAACACTGAATAAGGACCAATACACATTTATAAACTATCCATAGTTAAACATGTGCGTGTTAAGAATAAAACAGGATTTTGATATCATATTGAGGTGGGGTAGAGAGGCAGTGGCGGGGGGATCAAACCTAATCCTATAATTGAAAGTCTAGCATGTGCAACAGCAGGTAGGCATGTGTAGAATTAGCATGTTGTCTCTTACGCTCTCCACTTGTTTTTAATCTATGAAAGACACCACTAAATTGCAGACAAAAAATATATATATATTTTAAATCTTTACAATAAATCAAGATGTAGGAACTTACAGAGAGCACAGTTTAGTTTTATTTTAGGTACTAATTCAAGCTCCCTTGGATGCAAATAACCCTGGTAAACAGTGGGTACATTGTCTTTCTCTTCGCTTTTATAATTTTAGAGCAAATAATACACTTGACTGAATGTAAATCTGTGCAAATAATCCTTCAGAAGAAATATCCAAGATTCTGTTTGCAGAGGTCATTTTGTCACTCAGCGATGATTAAATGAGTCTGTTTTACTTCAGATAAAGTGCTCCTACTGTCCAGCAGAACTTCCACGGCCTTCAAGCGTTCCAGAAGTTTTGTTCCCAGAAGACATGGTCATACAAATTCCAGCTTCCCATGCCCACTGTACATGCCCCAGTGAACAAGCGAGAGGATCTTGTCACTGCTGAGGTCTGCTTGTCTCATCTTGTCACAGGTCATACAACAGTTCTCGTGCCCAGTGACCGGCACCATGCACTCCAAGTCTAACTTTGCGATCTGTCCCTTTTTGGAATGGTGTCCGTGAAAGCTGTAGTGCAAACGGGAGAGCATCTGTTGGCGCTGGTCCTGAAGTCTCTTGTTTTCACTTCGAAGCATCCTCAGAGCTAGCATAATAAGCAACACTAAAATCAGCCCACCAGCTATGGGAACAGCAATCACGGCTGCCCGGAACCACAATTCTTTGGAAGAGGTCAGCTCCTGCACCTTGGTGATGAGGTTTCTATTGCTGTCATGCTGGTATCTGTTGCCTTGTCCTGAAGGGGTACAAACAAAATCAAACCCTCGGTATGTTAACTCCACCAATGGAGAGAGATCATAATGATCATCTATCTGTTTTAAAAACAAGGAATCTCACAGTTAAAAGCTTACAATAAGAAAAGAACAATATTTAGAAAAGGAGCTTTGCGAAAAGGATCCAAAGGAGATTTCAACTGCATTTGTTAACAGGCTGTCATTAGTGCATCTTTAATGGTCTCTTAATGTCTTCAAAAGGTTGAAAAAACAGGCAAAACCTATTACGGAGACAGACCTCTAATGCTCAGGCAGACATAAAAGCTACTCAATAGAGATACAACTTTGCATCCAGTCATGCTTCTCCCTCTGGTGTCTCTAATTACATTAACAACAAAATCAATAGCAGACATACCGCGTCTTGCCTGTCACAAGTCTATAGAGCAGGCAGCATTCTGGTTAGAACTGTCTTCTACTTACCTGAGGTCTCACCCTTGGGAGGAGAGAGAACATCATGCAGTCCTCTGTAATTGCACATATCTTCATGACAGCATTCCAATGTGGGCATGGTGGTACCCGAGTGGTTTTGTGCCTGTTTGGCTTGGCAGACGTCTGCTGTGCTTGCAAGAGAGTCCAGGCAGCCATGAGTGAGCGGGGAATTCGTGTTCTGAGGATCAAGAAGTCTGGAGAAGCAGGCGCTGAGCTCAGATTTACACATGTAACCAGTTGCCACACAGTGTGCAGCGTCACAGTAGCATCTAATTTCACCTGAAAACAATGAGAAAGCACATTAAACTCTGCCTTTACAGACCACAGAAAGCATCTATTTTAAGCAACTGCTAAATCCCAACATCAAAGGAACTACTAACTTATAGAATATTCTGCTAAATGCTTACAATAGCAAGTCAATGTAGACTGAAAAAGCCCTTTGTGTAATCCAGTGCTAAATTTCAATTCAGCTTTAATGTAATTGTAGAAATGCACTGGACCCAATAGAAGAGAATCAGAGTTCAATGTAGACTTCTGATGAGTTACAAAAGAAAAAATTTTAACATAGAGGGAAATTAACAATCCTGGTATATTTTCCCTTGTCATAAAGTAATTTACACAATTTATTCATTTTAATCCCACATGACCATACAACATAAAAAATGCTAGGCTTTTTTATTTTGTCACTGTAAATATTTGATCGGAACTGCTAAATTGTTTACTACCTCGCAGGGCTGTGCCAAGATTTAAGAGCTTTAGCTAACACCTTATAAAGTTATTAACTAGAAACACAACAATCTAGAAATTGCTCAGGTCAGGAGGTTTTAAAACTATGAAACTGGGCAGCTATTTGCAACCTCTCTAGAAAAGGCAAACTTTTCCTATAAAGATCTTTTCATGCGGAGGAGCTTTTAGTCAGTATATTGTAAAACAGGAACTAGGCAGTTTACAATTAGTGGTTTGCTTGCCAAAGTCAATTTCTTTCAACCCAAATGGAAAGTCATAAAACAGGGGGTAAAACTGCAAGGCTAACTCCTCCTCCCCCTTATTCCCCCCATTTTTACATATAATTCAACATGTGATCTAAAAGGGGAAACATTTAAACTGAAAAGCCTCTGCTGGTTGAATGAAAAATCCTTAAGGAAACCTCAAAATTTTCTACAGGAAGTGATTAAAAATCTCCTTTATAAAACTTATTTTGTGCGTTGAAAGTCACTGTGCACATGTAGCTGCAATGAAAGAGTCTAGGCTTTTAACACCAATTTCAAGCAGAAATAATTTGGGTCCCAGAGTAATCTCACTCAGCTGATAGCCATCTCACTGGGCTCCAGTCTTTGTTACAAGCCACAACTCAAGCTACTGTAAATTAAACTGATGCACACAGCACACACCTCTTTCCCAGAGCAGCAGCAATCTGGAGATCTGTCCAGCTATTGAAACCTCAACTATGAAATGAAACACCAGGAACTTGACAAACCTCCTCTCACCCTCCCCTTCTTTCTCCTCTCAGTGAGTGCCTGAGAAAGGTGTCTCATTGGATTATCTGTCCAAATTCCAGGCCACCGAATGGTATGCTCCTGTTTTCAACAGGGCCTGCTAATGCCTTGGCTCTTAACAAACAGCCAACTAAACACAGACCTTTGGCAGCCTGAGTTTAACACTCCAACCCTAGAAAGTCTGCTTCCGTGCAAGCTTGCAGCCCTGGGGCTCAAGTCCCTTTCCTAGTTTATCTTGCCTCTGGCTGCTTTAAGAAAGAACTTTGCTTTCCAGAAGTTCTTTGGTCCTCTTTCCAAGCAGCCTTTATCTTTCACATAATGCTCACTGGCCTTGTGTAGTGATGACTACATATTATTTCTCACCTGACCAATTCCATCCATATACAGATGTAAAGTATAAATTACATAGATGAAAGGTCAAGTTTGATCTTATTGGCCTCAGTTTTAGTGGGGAAAAACCTGAACATAAGTAAAATGCTATTTAAATGTTTATGGGACCCTATTTAAAATACTGTATTTTCAGTGACGTAAAACGTTCTAATAAAATTTTGACAGGTAACTGGGAAAGTTTTAACAACTTTTTTGTTTTTTAATTGAAGCCACGTTTATGCAAGGAGAATGGACTTTTGTATTACTGTATTAAAACGATATTTCTGTTGTTTCATAAAGTTTCTTCCTGTGGCATGTAAAAGGCCAGAGAGGGGACTGGTATTTTGAATCAGTGAACAATGCTCTTCTGTTTCCCCCCCTTCTTGTTACTGTATGTAGTGATTAAACAAAATGCCTGCTTTTAGTCAAGATGGCTACAGGAGAGACTGCTGGCTTCTTTTAAAGCTTTTGAAGTCCGCAGCAGTCAGAATTTCTGATCCCCTAATTATATCATTATCAGGCACATAGTTTCGGTATCTGTGACTTCATGTCAGCTTCAGTCCCTCCCCATTCTGCCGGCCTTTGATAGGGCCAGGAGGCTCCTCTCTGCGGGCTGCTGAGGGCTGTTATTTAGGGTTAATTACACCCTTCCTTCCAAAATAAATAAATACTGTAGCACATCATCTTTGCTGGGCTAGCTTATCCTTTAACCTCATGCCTTCTACATGACAATTAGAGAAAAGTGGGGGATGCAAAATCTAAACAACGCTCCCAACTTTTTAAAAAAAAAAGTAAATAAAAAGATCTGGCCACAAAACAGTAGGCAGCGTTCAAGGAGAGCAGATGCGAGAACCCTGAAATCTACATAAGTTAGAGTTATTTCGACCCAAAAGGTGAAAGTCTGCAGGGGAAAAAACGAAATCACTGACCGCCTGCTTTTTTTTTTTTTTTCCCCCTGGGAGGGGAGAGGGGTGTGGAGGGGAAGTTGCGCTTGTAAAATCAGGTGAGTGGGAAACGGGACCGCTGACAGAACCTGCTCCCCTCCCAGCGCTGAAAAGCAAGCAACACAAGACACTTTATCAGAGGCAGAGACACACACTCAGAAACCCTCACTCTCACAAAGACAGACACCAAGAGACACGGAAAAACACTGTACAAAGACACGTTTACTCAGACTCAAGTACACAGAGAAAAACACTTATACAAAAGCACACCCTGACACACTCCGACAGCACACACGCGTTCGGGGCAGGGGGCTGCGCTTCCTTCAGGTCCCCAGGAGGCCGAAGACCACAAAAGGGCCAGCTCCACTGCTGGAAATGTTCAAAAGTTCATTACTGACAACCCTACAAAAACATTTTGACAACCACTTGCTGGGGGCAGCCTAGGGGGCAGTCGCGCAACCACCGCCGCGACTTCCAAGAACAGAGCAACTTGTCGCGACCTGCGAGCCCGAGCTCCCGCGCGGGAGGAGACCTCACCAGCCGCTAACAAAGCCTTGGCAGACGGCTCCAAAGCCCCGCGGCGGCGGCGACCCAGTCCCGTCACCGAGCCCAGCGGGAAGGAAAGCGCCGCGCAGTCCCCAAGGAACCGGCGGCTCCGCCCCGCGCCCCCTGACACCCACCTTTGGTGAGTAGCACGGCCATAGCGCAGAGTTCGAGCTGCAGCCAGATGAAGATGTAGCTGGAATGGCGATCCATTGACGCCCCCCACGGCCGCGGCGCCCCCGCCGGCTCCCGGAGCCGCGGCGCTGCAGCAGCCTACGACTCCCGGAGCGCGGAGTGCATGGGCGCCCCCGGCTGAGCGGTCTTAGCCGGGATCTGCGGGCGCAGTCAGCGCCCGGGCGAGGAGCCGGCCCGCGGCTGGAGCATGAACCGGGGCCGAGGACGTGACCAGGAGTCGGGGAAAGTTCAGCAGTCTGACTAGGCTCCCTTTCTCCGCACGCCCGAGTCGCCGCAGTTCGGGATGGGCTCTTTCGGCTCCCTTATTAGATTGGCCACTTAAAAGAAAGTAGAGTCACAGAGAGAACCAACCGCGAGGTCCCCGCTTGCATCCAGCCTCTGCCAGTTCCACTGCTCCCGCGCTGTAAATAGCGCCCCGCGCTGGGAGCCGGCTTGGCGCCGCCCCGCCCGTCCGATTGGCCACCAGGCTCTTGTCAATCAGCCTCAGAGCCACGGGGCAGGCCCGAGCCATGGCGAGGAGGGACTTGCTGGGCTGCCCCTCGCAGCGCCCAGATCCACCGCGGCCGCCTCCCGCGCTCCCCCTCGTGGAGACCTGCCTGCCCATGACCTTCGTGAGGCGCTGGTCGAGCCCAGCCTCTGGGTCTACTTCTGGGTTTAGATTCGTGACCCTTATTATTCTACCACAAGCAAAAGCCCCCTGGCCTGTGGATTCTTTTTATTTGTTTGTTTCCCCTGAGAAAAGTTAGCAACCCGCCGGCCACGCTCCGCACCTCCGGGAGCCCCAGTCGCAGGTGGCGGACCCCAGCCGCACACGCTTTTGGCTCACTTGAGACGAGGACGGGGGTCCTGTCGGGAGCCAAGAAGTGTGGTGGCGGGCGCTGGGGTCTGTTTTCTACTTTCTCTCTGCCCCCCCCCCCCCGTCTCCCCCGCGGCGCATCCGCCTGGAGCAGCCTGCTCTGTGATCAATAAAGCCCAGACAGACAGACTGTTGATCAGTAGGAGCCTCTAGGTTCTCTGGGGTAGACGGGACGAGTAGCCAGCTAGAGACACTTAACGAAAATTAGCAAATCCAAAAGCACCCGGCGCCAGAGAGACGACATAGGCGGAGACTGACACTCAATTAACCACCCCCCAAACAATCGCAGGCAAACACACCGGCTGACCCTGATCGATATCAGCCCCGCAAGGATCTCGTCCCGGAGAAGCTAATTCATTTATTAGGGCTCCAGGGGCTGTCGGTCCCAGTATACTAAAGGAGGTCCTAGAGGGTTTTGCAGTTGGTTGTTGGGGGGAGGGGGGGAAGAGAGAGGGAAATTCTACTTAAAACTCATTATCTGAGTTTTAAAATGCTCTTTTATCCATTTTCCCTCCCCCAAACCTGAAATGAACACTAGTCAGCCATTTGCAAAATGTCCTTTTAGGATAGGACAATATTTCCTACTTTATTGAAAGTCAAGTTGGAGGGAAAAAAGAAAGGCGCCTGTAATGTTAAGGTGAGAAATGTAAAATCAAACCATTTTGGACTGTAACACAGATGTGAACTTAAGACTAAGAAAGAAATAATGTCTTGAAGGTTGAAAAAAAAAAGGCAAACTTACTTCAAACGCCAACCTTGGAGTTTAAAGTTGTTGAAAGTCCACAGAGCTGCAGGATGTAGTTAAGAAAATTGCCTTTGAAAAAATAAGATTTATATGCAGAAAGATAATTTTATAAACCAATGCCCTAACCATTCTTTCACTAGATAAAAATTGCATCCAAAAAAAATGAAGGGCAATCTCAGCAGAAATGTTCAAAGAAAATTTAACTAGTTAAGGCACCTGGTAAATAGCAGGAATTTCCTGAGTGGAACCAGATAACTTGTTAGTGGTAGGGGAGAGTTTGATTAGAACGTCCAGATTTGTAGTTTTATGATAAATTACCAGTTCTAAGGCGTCAATACACAGACAATACATGTTTTCAAGTGATTGTACATCCTTTTAACTGTTGTTAAGTGCCATCCACTGGATTTCGACCCATGAGCAACCTCATGTGACAGCAGAACTGCCTCATAGGGTTTTCTAGGCTGTTTGAACCCACCAGCAGCTTCCCTGGAGAACTGGAGTAAGGTGTGGTATTTTGCTTCTGTAAAGACTTAATAGTCTTGGAAACCATATGGGACAGTTCTGCTCTGTCACTGTATTGCTACAGGGTCCCTAGGACTCAGAATCAACTCAGTGGCAGTGTGGTTTGGCTTGGGTAATCTTTACAGAAGGAGATTGGCAGGTCTTTCTCCAGAGGAGCTATTAGATGGGTTTGAACAGTCAATATTTCAATGAACAGCTGTGTACTTAACCACAGCGCCACAGGGATCCTTCTTTTAACACCGTGGTGGTGGTAGTTGTGTACCATGGAGTCAGTTCCAACTCATAGTGGTCTTATATAGGGTTTTCAAGGCTGTAAAGCTTTGTTGTTGTTATTGTCAAGTGCTATCAAGTCGTTCTGACTCATAGTAACCCTATATATGGTTTCCAGGAGTTCTGGTGTGGTTCTGTGGGTTAATGCCCTGGACTGCAAGATTGGTTTAAACTGCAAGGTCAGAGGTCCAAGCTCACTAACTGCCCCTTGGGAAAACCCTATTTTGTTGTTGTTGTGAAGTGTCGTCGAGTCGGTTCCAACCCATAGCAACCCTGTATAGGGTTTCCAAGGAGCAGCTGGTGAGCTTGAAACTGCCAATCTTGCAGTTCAAATGGCTTTGCAATCTGGCACATTAACCCACAGCACCACACTAGGACTCCTGGAAACCCTATACAGGGTTGCTATTAGTCGGAACCTACTCGACAGCAGTTAACAACAACAACATACAGTTTCCAAGAAGAGGCTGGTGAGTTTGAACTGCCGACCTTGTGGTTCACCGACCTTGTAGTCCAGTGTTTTGTCCCACAGCACCACACCACCTCATCTTTCTCCCTCTCACTGAGTGACTGATAGATTTGAAATCCGCTAAGCCACTAGGGTTCCTTTCCTTTCTAAAGTTAAATAAATATTAGCTAAAAGAAACTTTTGGGGTGTCTATTATTTCAGACTTTCTGGACTATCCACACACTGTCATTGGATCATAAAAATGAATAGGTCAGAACCTAAAACAATAAATCACAAAACAATGGAATTGAACACTTATGTGCAGAACATCACGCTGCAAAAGAAAGGTAAAGAAGTCTAGGGAGCTCTCCTAGAAAGAAGGATGTTGAGGATAACTTACTGTAAGGGAGAAGGGGACTGTTCCAACCACTCAAGACCACAGGAATTTAGGCATGAAATTAAGTGCATGGAGGGGGTGAGGTGTAAATAGAGGATAGGTAGATGGGAATACAAGTAATTCTTTGTTTTAGGAACATAAAATGTGAATCAGGGAATGGGCATAGATTAATCAGAAATTAACTGTATTTACCTTTTCGTTGTTAGTAACTATTGAATTGGTTCCAACTACATGGCAACCCCATATGTACAAAACTGAACTGTTCCACAAAGTATTGAAGGCAGTGAAATTTCCAAAGATCACCAGACCTTTCTTCTGAGGTGCCTCTGAGAGGGTTCAAACAGCTAAGTTTAATCTTAATTGTCAAAACTTCAACCATTTGTGCCATCCAGGGGCAGACATACTTAATACTTGTTTAAGGGGTTATATGGTAATACGGTGATGTAAATATAAGGTAATATGTTGTTTTGTGGGAGACACTTTTTTCGTATCTTCTCTGCCCAGTTAAAAGAACTTCCCTTGTCACTGGTGTGGGCATTGACAGCCACACTAGAACACTCTAGCCCTCTGGCCATACCTAGTCCCATGACCCCATTGGAGTGCTTTAGATACTTCTGGGCCTTTGGAATGCTGGTCAGTCTCTACAGGTCGATTGATGGGAGATAATAAATTCAGAAATGTGGGGCAACAGAGAAAGAGGAAAATGACATATAGTGGCAAAGATTTTAAGTCCAAATGGATTTTGAGTCACTTGGCTTCATGTCCTGTCCTTAAACCCAATGCCATTGAGTTGATTTCAATTCATAGTGACCCTGTATGACCGAGTAGAACTGCTCTGTAGGTTCTCCAACTCAGTAACCTTAATCAGGAGTCCACATGTGGTGTGGCGGGTTAATGCGTTGGACTGCAATGTCGATTTGAATCATAAGGTTGGTGGTTCAAGCTCACCACTCACTCCTCAGAAACCCTACACAGGGTCGCTATAAGTCAGAACTGATTTGATGGCGCTTAACAACAACAACAACAACATTAATAAGAAATCCTGCTGTGGCGTTGCAGGATAAGTACTGGCCTGCTGACTGCAAGGTCGGTGGTTCAGATCCACCAATTGCTCCTCAGAAACCCCATACAGGGTCACTATGAGAAACCCCATATTGGGGTTTCGCTATGAGTCAGAACTGATTCAACGGCACTTAATAACAACACTCTTAATATTGCTGTTGTTGTTAAGTGCTATAGAGTCTGTTCCAACTTATAACCCGTATAGGGTTTCCAAGGAGCAGCTGGTGTGTTCAAACCACGAACCTTAAGGTTCAAACTGACCTGTGGTCTAGTGTTTATCCTATAGCGCCATACCAGGACAACATTAATAAGTTCCCCTTTTAAATTGAAGTTATTTTACTTGCAATTTTAAGTAAGGGCCCAAACTAAAACATGTGTGTTTTATTGAATTAATATTGACTTTTATAATTCAGAATGTATGCTTTTTGATTGCAAGCACAAATCAGAAAATGAATTTGTGATCCATTCTGCAGATAATGATTTCAAGTGTTTATTATTATTATCAGTTTAATGAGCTATTGTTGTTGTTTAGTGCTATTGAGTCGATTTTGACTCATGGTGGTGGTTATGGGCCGTAGAGTCAGTTCTGACCCATAGCGACCCTGTACAGGGTTTCCGAGGCTATAAATCTTTACAGGAGCAGAAAGCCTCATCTTTCTCCCACGGAAGCTGGTAGTTTCGAACTGCTGACCTTGTGGTTGGCAGCCCGATTCATAACCAC